CGGCGCGGCGGGGCGCGGCGCGGGCGCCGGGCACGGCCCGTCCCCGCCGAGGAAGTGCGGCAGGAAGAGGGTGGGCGGCAGCGCGCGGGGGTCCGGAAGGCGAGGCAAGGGCGGCGGGGCCGGGCTCACCATCGGGAGGGCCCCGAGGAAGCCGAGCGGCGCCAGGCGGCCGCCCAGAGCGAGCTCTCGCTGCGGCACGGAGACGACGGTCATGGTGGGGCGCGGGGCTCGGCACACGGCGGGAGGCAGGCGTCACGAGGCGGCGGCGGCGGCTGCTGCTGGAAGGTTCGGAGCGAGGACCATGACTCGGGCGAGGCGGCGCAGCAACAAACAGCCCGGGCCGCTCTGCGAGTGTTGTTACCCGAGGCCCCGCCCCGGGCCCGCCCACCTCCCCGCGGCGGACCAATCAGGACACGCCTGCCAGGCCACGCCCTCGGGCCCGCCTCCGCTCCCCGAGGCAAGACACAAACAAGCAGCCTGCTGCAGCCCGGGCACAAAGAGCGCACGTTGCGCAGGCGCGTCCAACGGGCTGTTTTCTGGAGGGTGTCCCGTGAACAATGAAGTGCGACTTTGGCCTCACCTCCTTGGCGGCTCGTCGAGCGGAGGAGAGGGCGGTACAGGAATTAGGAAGCTGCAGACCTTGAGAAAGGACAGCTCTGTTTTTTTCCGTTTCAGCTCTACATAAAATTAAGAGATTTCGGAGAACACTCAGGATTTCATAGCACTGATCTGCCTCTGCTGAAGTGTGGTTGTGTGGTTCCTCACTCGGTTTTGTGATGCTCTAATTATCCCTGGTGATGAAAATAAGAAAGGGCTTATTGATGGATTCCAAAAAGTACCCTGTAATCCCGAAAATGGGCCTTCAGAGTTTTTACTGCTTTTATAGCTAAGGACATGGGGGCCCCATAGTTGTTGCTGCAAACCTTTGTCCCAAGTACGAAGAAAACCAGCCCTGCTACAGTTTGCTAGCTAACTCTCCTCACAGCTTATACAGAAAAGAACTGTAGCCAGTAGTTATCAAATAAGTAGGTTCTCAGAACTAATTCCATAATCATCTTGTTTGAAACATTTTACAATGGGGTAATTAAGGGACACAGAGGTACCTGGGGTGTGGTGGTGCACGCCTGTTATCCCAGCACTCAGGGAGGCCGAGGCACGCGGATGTCTGTTACAGGCGGATCTCTGTTGAGTTGAGGCTAGCCTGGTTTACGAAGTAAGTTCAGGACAGTCGAGGCTACACAGAGAAACCGTGTCTCGAAAAAAAGAAAAAATGTGAGCCATCATGCTAGAAAGGCTCTAGCCTCAATGCTTAGAGGTGCACCTCCTTTCTTAAAAGCACAGCTTTGGCCAGCTATTCGACTTTAATCTTAACAGTAGAAAGGCAGAGGCAGGCGGATCTCAAGATGTTCAAGGGCAGCCTGGTTTACAGAGTGATGTCCAGACAGCCAGGTACAGAGAAACTTTGTCTAAAAAAAAAAAAAAAACAGGAAAAAAAATCACAGCTTTGAAATGGCAAGGCAGCGAGGCTGGTGGCACGTGCCTTTAATTCCAGCACTTGGGAGGCAGAGGCAGGCATATATTTCGTGAGTTTGAGGCCAGACTGATCTACATAGTGAGTTCCAGGACAGCCAGAGCTACATAGTGAGGCCCTTTCTTGAAAACAAAAAGCACAACTTTGTTATCACCTATATTATGCAATACTATATTATGGAGTTTTTTGTTGTTGTTGTTGTTGTTGTTGTTCTTAGTTTTTTTGAGGGTCTTGCTATGTAGTGCTGGCTAGCTTGGAACTCAATATATAGCTGAGTATGACCTTGAGCTCCTGATCTTACTGCCTCCACCTCCCAAGTGCTGGCACTAAGGTTCTGAACCATCCTCCCTGGCTGATAGATGGCTGTCAGTTTTAGAAAGCCACAGCCTTACTCTTCTCTTGTCTTACAGGCCTCTCCCAATAATTTGAAAACTAGATAGTAGCAACTAGTGCCTAAAATGTTTTGTGGTTGATAGCAAAGCTGATCATGCTCACTATCCAGAGTGATATCTTTCAGTAACTAAGAGTTTCCATTGCTATGAAGAACACCATAACCAAGGCAACCTTTTTTTTTTTTAATTTTCTGTTTTTTTAAGAGAATTTTTCTCTGTATAGCCTTGGCTGTCCTGCCAGCCTCTACCTCTCCAAGTTCTAGGATTAAAGGTGTGTGCCACCATGCGCTCTTACAAAGGACAACATTTTATTGGGCTGGCTTACAGAGGTCCATTGTTGTCATGGCATTCCGGAAGCGTTACAGTATCCAGGTAGGCATGGAGCTGAAGGAGCCGAGAGTGCTACATCTTGATCTGAAGGCAGGCAGGAGGAGACACTTTTGCACTGGTTGTAGTTGAGCACCGGAGACCAGAAAGCCCACCCCACAGTGGCACACTTCCTCCAACAAGGCTGCACCTCCTAATAGTGCCACTCCCTGTGGGCCAAGCATTCAAACACACGAGTCTACAGGGGCCAAACCTATTCAAACCACCACAGTAACTTTATAAAAATATTTACATTTCATCATGATTAATTACTGGGGTTTCTAATTTCTGTAGACTTTACTGATTTTTGTGTTTGTAACAGTTCATGATTAGGTGGTCATGTCCATTGGGTGGATGGGAATCATAGATCCAAAAGTGGAAAAGATCTTAACAAAGCCTGTAAGTCACATCTTTTAATAATCAGGTGTGTGGCACATGGCTCCAGTACCAGCACTTTGGAGGCAAAGACAGGAGATGCAAGTTCAAGGCCAAGCCTATTTGTACATAGAGTTCCAGGTCAGGCAGGGTTAAAGAATGACATTGTTTCCAAAAAGCAGAAATAAGCAGCAAACAAATCTTCCAGTGTGTGAATCGAATTTGATTGCGCAACCTGTGAGAACAGCCTGGCCCGAGCTGGTGAGGAAAAGCAAGCAGAGACTATAGCTTGGATACCACAAAGTGTGCCGTCCATTTTCAGATGTTTTTAGTTACTTCCAGATGTAGTCAAGTTGACAACCAAGAAGAGCCATCACAGATGCTAACCTCGGCTAACCTTGACCACATCTGGAATCAAGTAAAACCCAAGCAGCTGGGCATGCCTGTGAGGGGTTTTCATGACTGGATCATTTGAGGTGAGAAAACCCATCGTCTACCTGGGCCACGTTTTCTGGCAGTAGCCCACATGCTCTCACTCTCACAGGCAAGCTCACCTATCCTGCAGCTGAGGCATTCCTTCACCGGCATTAGAGCCTACTCTTGAGGAGGCAGCATGGACCTGCGACCAGCGGTTCACTAGCTCTGACACTCAGCACCACACCACACTGAGACTGCTAGGATATCTCATCTTGTGGGCTGAACAACTACTGGATTCTTGCCCTTCCCATTTAGGTGCTAGCTGGACCGCAGCCCGTAAGCCACTCTAATAAACTGCCTTATACACAGAGACAGACAGATATACACAAACATAGTCATTCTATCAGTTCTGTTTACAGAACCCTGACTAATACATATTAATATGTAGTGTATGACTTTGGGGGAGCTACAAATATTAAGCGCATAGAAATTTCTGAATGCTTGTCATGGCTACAGTTTTTTTTTGTTCTTTTTTGTTTTTTTGTTTTGTGTGTGTGTGTGTGTGTGTGTGTGTGTGTGAGTATTTCTAAATATAACCCGTTGAGTCCATAGAACTGTTACCTGTATGGATGTTTATAGCTGCAGCTCTTGACATGACCCTCAGATGGTTCTCTATGGATGGGTATGTTTTGACTCTGGCTCACCATCTGGCCAAGAGCCAGCAAAGTTCTGTTGAATGAGGATGGCAGTGCCCACTCATTTATCTAGGACTAATCCAAATTGAACTAATTGGTTCAGCTCTAGAATTTGAAGTGAACTAGTTGGTGGTAACGGAGGCACCTTGTGCTGGAAGCCTACGAAAGTCTGTAGGAAGACATGGAAGAAGGTCCATCCCTTCACTGGCATTCCTTCACTGAAGAGCCCACTTCTTCAGGATTCCGGTGTACACGGAAAACCAACAGAGACATCCAGCCTTGTGGCCTGAGCAACTACTGGATCTTTGTATTTTTCCAACAGGAATTTATGGTCAGCCTTGACTAGACAGCAAGTTTGCAGCCAGACTGGACTATGGGAGATCCTGTTTGGGACAAACAAAACTATGGCTGAGGATTTAGGTCAGTGGTCCTCAACCTATGGGTAGCAACCCCTTTGGGCGGAGTCGAAATGACCCTTTGGAAGGAGTTGCCTAGGGCCATTGGAAAACAGAGATTACATTATGATTCATAACAGTAGCAAAATTAAAGAACAGCAACAAACATAATTTTATGGTTGGGCGTCACCTCAACAAGGGGAACTATATTAAAGTGTTGCAACATTAGGAAGGTTAGAACCACTGATTTAAGTAGGAGCGTGATTGCTTAGCATGTGTGAAGACCTGGATTCAGTCTCTACTATGACAGAAAACTTAAAGCAAGTTAACTAGGAAAAATGGATTAAAACATACTTTGCCAATCTTGTTTATTTTTCTGATCATAGCATATTCAGTTCAATCTTTTCTCCTAATTAGCTAAAACCTGTAAGGAAAGTGCCTCAGAAAACAAACAGGCCCAGTGAGATGGCTCAGTGGTTTCAGGTGCCTTCTGCCTGAAGCTGCAACCCTACCAACTTGAATTTGATCCCTGCAACAGCACATAGAAGAAGGAGAGAGCCCATGGCACGAAGCTGCTCTCTGACCTACGCAGTTGCTGCACGGCTGAGGAAAGATCCACACACCAATAACAATAAATAAAATAAGTGAATACATCAATAAAATCTGTTATATCTTTAAAAAAAAAATCCTAAACACAAGAGCAGGGTTTGGTGGCACATGCCTGTAATTTTAGTCACTTGGGAGATAGAAGCAGGAGAATCAGAGATTCTAGGTCATCCTTGGCTATAGTGAGTTCAAGACTGGTCTAGGTTCTATGAGATCCTGTCTCAAACAACAAAAATTCAGCCGAACTCAGAAAGACCAACAAAGTGGCTTATAGAGGTAACGACCAAACAGAACCTCTTTTAAGAGACTTGGAAGGGGCTGCTTGTGTTGGTATCCTGCCAAGTCATATTTCAGTATTGATGATGACTCATTGCTATAAACGTAGTACCTAAAATGATGCAATCATCATTTTGAGTTTTGGGAGAGAACTAAAGGTTAGCCTAACTAGTAAGTCAGCATGTTGCAGTTTATTCTTAGCATGTACAGGTGCACAATGTGATTAATTTAAATTTTGACAATAATGTTTCTTCTTTGATATGAGATCTCACCATTAACATCTGTACCTACCTTTTTTTTTTGGAAACAGAAGCATTTTTTTGGAAGCATTTCAGGCTTGCCTGAAATGCTTGATCCTCCTGCCCCAGGCTTCCAAGTGCTGCAATTATTAGGCACACCACCATATCTGACTATATTTCCTTCACTTCTGTCCTTTAATTATAATGCTCTCTGCATTACAATATCCTGGTTCTCCAAGCCTAGTCAAATTGTCCA